AAAAAGACCCTTATTTACATTTGAAAAAGACTTTTAGGTTTCCTGATAACAAGATTGCTACCCTGATTCGGGTAGCAACTTTAAATCCGAGGAAATGAAGATATTGTCTTTAAAAGAGTGTGCAGTTGTACAATCTTGAAGCTCACAAATAAATATGTTACTATATACTTACAACTATCATTTTAAAAACAGCTTTGGCGATGTGCAAGCATTAGAAGAGTATAGGTGCAACATGGCACAAGTATTCCACCAGCATTGGTGCTGTATCATCAACTTTGTTCATTTATTTCCGCCATAGTTTACCCTTTCATTGGGAAAGGGTCTTGAGACAATTTTTCTTATTTTAATTCTACGTTCATAATGGCTCGCTCTCTTCTTCCACGCTGTCTGTATTGCTGTTATGGGTTTCCTTTTCTTCTGCTTTCTGTTGCTGGAGCCACATGTTTGCATACGCACCGCCTTCTGAAATCAACTCCTCGTGCCTACCATTAATAGGAACAACAAAGGAAAAATGAACAGTATCAAGGTGAGTTATATTGCAGGTTTCTCTGTCGCACATGTAGCAGCCAAAAACAAATTCGACGAAAAAAGCAAAACTAGAAAAAGGGGCCGCCATTACCTTCCTCTTTCGACAATTTCGCCCTCGCGCACAACAAGAATCTGATCGGCGTTTACAATCGTGGACAATCTAAAGAATTGAGAAAAGCTGTCAAACTATTTTCCAGCCTGAAACATTGCGAGAGGGTATTCCACAGTAGTTTGCAGATCTTTTTCTTTTTTCCTATTAACCATAAAAACATGTGTAATCCGGTTGCAACTCTGGATAATACACTGTACTTGTTCGCGTTTAATTCAGTCTGAAATTCACTCTGATGAAAGACTGACGCTAGTAACGTCATCAATAGGCCTTTTGCAGTTAGAGATCACGTGCTTAGATACCGCATAGCAACGCCATACTGGAGAGCAAGCACTCCAGTGATCTCAGACAGTATAGAGGTCACAGAGGTCTGCATTCAAACAAAGAATACAGCGGATAACAGGTCAAAAGGTATCCCAATTCGAGAAATCCAGTAAGAAGTAATCAACAGCTTCCCCAGAGTGTATCAGCAGCAAAATCACACCAAAATTCGTTTTTCGCTGATACACTCCAAGGAAGCTGTTGATTAAAACTTACAAGATTTCTCGAATTGGGATATCCTTTAACTTGTTATCCGCTGTATTCTTTGTTTCAATGCAGACCTCTGTGATCTCTATTTTGTCTGAGATCACTGGAGTGCTTGCTCTCCAGTATGGCGTTGCTATGCGGTATCTAAGCACGTGATCTCTAACTGCAAAAGGCCTATTGATGACGTTACTAGCGTCAGTCTTTCATCAGAGTGAATTTCAAACTGAATTAAACGCGAACAAGTACAGTGTATTATCCAGAGTTGCAACTGGATTACACATGTTTTTATGGTTAATAGGAAAAAAGAAAAAGATCTGCAAACTACTGTGGAATACCCTCTCGCAATGTTTCAGGCTGGAAAATAGTTTGACAGCTTTTCTCAATTCTTTAGATTGTCCACGATTGTAAACGCCGATCAGATTCTTGTTGTGCGCGAGGGCGAAATTGTCGAAAGAGGAAGGTAATGGCGGCCCCTTTTTCTAGTTTTGCTTTTTTCGTCGAATTTGTTTTTGGCTGCTACATGTGCGACAGAGAAACCTGCAATATAACTCACCTTGATACTGTTCATTTTTCCTTTGTTGTTCCTATTAATGGTAGGCACGAGGAGTTGATTTCAGAAGGCGGTGCGTATGCAAACATGTGGCTCCAGCAACAGAAAGCAGAAGAAAAGGAAACCCATAACAGCAATACAGACAGCGTGGAAGAAGAGAGCGAGCCATTATGAACGTAGAATTAAAATAAGAAAAATTGTCTCAAGACCCTTTCCCAATGAAAGGGTAAACTATGGCGGAAATAAATGAACAAAGTTGATGATACAGCACCAATGCTGGTGGAATACTTGTGCCATGTTGCACCTATACTCTTCTAATGCTTGCACATCGCCAAAGCTGTTTTTAAAATGATAGTTGTAAGTATATAGTAACATATTTATTTGTGAGCTTCAAGATTGTACAACTGCACACTCTTTTAAAGACAATATCTTCATTTCCTCGGATTTAAAGTTGCTACCCGAATCAGGGTAGCAATCTTGTTATCAGGAAACCTAAAAGTCTTTTTCAAATGTAAATAAGGGTCTTTTTTAAATATGGGGTGTCAGATTTATTCTGCCGAATATAACAGACAACTCTGAGATGATAATACTTAATGACTCGAGGAAACCATAATATAATCATCCAATGGTCATAGCGCGCCTTCCTGTTATATAAGTGACAGTTACAGTTATTCACTGATAGCCATCAAGTACATGCATCGTGTATCTGTTGTTGTAACCTTATCTTAACAATTGTTAGGAAATACGAGTAACGTCACCATGTAAACAGGACAATGGAATTTGAGCACTGCGGCCGTCAACTTAGCCGAATTGCTTTGGTTTCGGCCTCTTTCTTTGTCGAGAACTTTTACCAGTTTGCCAGTCAAACAGATACAATAATTTCCCCGTTTGCCAAACCAAGGAGGTCGGCCTGAGGAGGCCCACCCCCCGATGGCTGTTCTTTTAGTGTAATGCTAGAAATAAAAAGAAGAGAAACCGCTGAGACTAATTTCTTTCTCGTGACGCTAGGCGACTTCTAGTGATCATTGTTTTGACACTAAGTGGCTGCACCCTAAAACTTCTTTGCTTTATGCCTGGACTTCAGAAATTTACTTTCCTACAAACTTAAGTTTCCGCGATTCGTTCTCCCGTTCCTTCTTTCATATTTTGACTTGATTTATAGGAAAAAGGAAACATAATCGGAAAATTTCATTTTTTTCGCTGGTTTGTGTACAAGTCATCCTTGTTTTACTTGATCGGAAATCCACTCGGATTTTTCAAGAAGAGGCATTCTAACTTACGAGTTAAGTTTGAGTTTGTGACCCACAGCTGCCATTATTATCCATTAGACTTCCCGTGAAACATCAGATTGGTAGAGAGCATTTAGCCAAAATGCAATAACATGTGAACTCGACATGATAACCCGATATCTGCTGCAGATATCGAGTTATCATGCCGAGTTCACAGTCTCCCTAGTTTCCAAGCCCCTCGTCCGTTTAGTGTTGTCAAACTTTTGCGAAAATGGCTAAACGCTTCGCCTCTGTTTCCGAGGAGGAATTGAAATTTTTGATCAAGAATATAGATTCCAAAAACACCAAGAGGACAACAAAAACAAGTGTTAAAAAACACTGAAGGAACCACGGGATAAAACTGCTTTGGCCAGTGTTCTGAACAAGTTTACGCCGGCGCAAAATAAGTGATGGCAGCCCTTACTCGAAAAGTGCCATGACTTCTATACGATTTGAAGTGTGTTAATTTGAAAAGGCGAAATGAAAAGACTTTTCATTCACAACAGATGACAAAAGGCGCTCGATGCGTGTGCAAATCAGATAAGTGTCTTCTTTTGCAATTCTTTTATTAGTGTAAAATAAAACAATTATTGAATTCGGTTTGCGCATGATATCGTGAATTATATCAAAACCGAGGTCTGAGTTATCTGCCGAAGCCGAAGGCCTCAAATAATTGCTTATCATACGGAGCATACTCTGTAGGGAGGAAAACTCCAACCTTGGCTCAAAGCTGTTGTATAGACTATTTGATATTCAACACAAGATCCGTCCGCTTCAACCGGGTATGACTGGAAACACTTTATGCCTTTCAGTCCATTCACCACAAGGAAAGCGCAGTATTGTATATCTTTTTGCATACAGTTATAAAAAGAGAATAAAAGCACAAGGTACACATGCGGACATAGCAAGCCGTGTCATATGGCAGCAATTATGGCTGGGTTTTGTCTTCTGCTTTTCATCGTGTATGCATCGTGTATTCTTCTTGAAATGGTGTTTTTTTACGCGTTAATTTTTTTTTCACGTATTATCACACGACAGTCTTCAGGTGAATGAGATATAACAATCAAACAATAAAGCACAAGTTTAAAATCAGTCCCACAGAAGCTTTACCAGGTGTCTATATCAGACAGCTTTTCTGTGTTCTCCAAGATTATGTGCACTAATCAGACTCTTATTGCCTAGGAAAGAAGGATCATTGAAAGAATAAGGTAAAATAAATTTCAAATTTTATCTCATATCCTGCCCCTCCTAAATCCTAATCTCTCTTTGCCCAGCTCCTGACAGTCACAGTCTGAACCTAAATTTACCACATGGCTCTATTTATGGCAGATACAAGTGGTTGATTTCAGAAGGAGGCATTTACGAGGACATGTGGTTAGAGCAACAGAAAGTAGAAGAAAAGGAAAAATTCAGATCGGATGATACAAAACTCTCAATAATATTGCCACAGAGGATTTGTTATTTGTAATGTTCGGGTTTTAGAGAGGGAATTATTTGTTCATGCGAGCACTCAATGATAACATCATATACATGTGACAAACGTTAGTTTCTAGATCAATCAAATAGGCTTTGCACAAATGAAGTTGGGTTTGGGAAATAAAGGAATTGTGGAATTTTTACCGATGTTTTCTTCTTACAGAATATCACATACAGGGCGTGTCCTACAGCGCCACTCAGGCGGAGATTAGCTGATGCAAATCAACACTCGGATCCAGTTACAGGAATTTTCCAATTTCTTGCTTTGGTTTCAGCTCAGTGTCAAATGAACAGATCTGCTCCTTGGCAGCTGTGTTTCAATACCTCCGCCTGCCAGCTTTAAGTGCCTCTTTCTTTTGCCCCAGTACTCTTTAGATTAATCCTAAAAGGGTTAACTTTGCGAATTGACAGGGATTAAGCTTTTCTGGGAGCGTTTAGCAAAAGCTAATTACCCTCCTTTTTCATATAAGAACCTTTTTATCATGACAACGTTCAGGCTCAGATTATCCACAATTTTAAGAACATACTAAGAACGTATCCAGGCTGAGAGTCACCTAAGGAAGTCTTCAAGAACACAACTTTAAGAACAAGTGAAGAACATTATAAGACTCAGTTGAATATCACCAAGGGGGGCTCGTAAATATCCTTCTTTAACAGAAGATTAGATAAACGCTATGCCAAATCTTTTGATGATTATCATCATTTCTGTTTAGATGCGGGAGTATGAACGAGTCTTGACTGAATCTTCCATCGATTACAGCTGTTGACTAACTTTTCATCTGATGCTGATTAAAAGCTATTCAGATGGTCTTATTAGGATATCTGACATTGTAATAAGATTATCAATCGCGCCAATTAATTCCAGTGATCCTGTAAATGTCGGTAGACCAGCCGTGAATAAATCGCACGCACCATGAGAGAGTTCTTTAGAGATGGTCTTAAAACAAACGACGTGGCTGGAAGATAGATATAAACGTGCGATTTGTTTCAACAAATGCGTACTTGTGATATGTAAAGCTTATCAAAGTTCCTCTCACCTTGGGGATAATTCGAGATAATTCTCAGTGTCTATTAACTTTAAACAATCAATCATCTTGGATTAAATAAAGTATGGATAGAAAAATTCCAGCAGTGATTAATTCCTTTCCAGACAAAAAAAGGGAAAAAAAAAAGGATAATCCGAAAAAAAAAAGGTTCCATATACATTTGCTGCAGAAATATTATGACACATTTAGTCACATAACCCCAGTCTACACCCGAGTTATAACATCGCAGGCTCCAACTAAACCGAGAGTAAAACTTCAGCTTTATATCTCCATATTAATAGTGTTGCTAAACTGGGATTATTGTAAGGTACGCCGGATTAATAGCAACAAAAATTTATCTTAGAGGTGTCATACAACGAAATTCTCTCATTTTGGCGATAAATCAGCGTTAGCCGCAGCTGTTACATTGCAATATTCGCACGCATGAACCACAACTGAAGTTACTTCGTTTAACGCTCTAACTCCAAAGTTCCTAGACTGCATTTTAACAGACTCCCTATGCAAAAAGAGTTCTAACTTTGACAACTTTGAAAGAAATTTAAGAACTCTAAACACACTGCAAAGGCTTGCAAGATGACAAAATTGGATAAAAAGACCAAAGATTTACCATGCGTTCCTTCATGTGATAGGCACACGTACGCTCCTTCAGCCAGTAAGGTCGTGTGCAAACTACACGATCGGGCTGACTAAGATCAATCAGACATCATCAAGAGCTAAAGATCGATATCCTGTGTTTATTTGCGTCGCTTCAATCTACTCAAATAACATCCCGTCGCGTTTTCTTGGAGATCAATTAATACACAATCAAATTGTAATAACATCTTTTTTGAGACCCATCCATGCTTCAGATGAATGAAATTTTAATCTTTGACTTTCTAAGAGGATTTTCTTTCAATTGCCGCAGAGGAGAGTCTCTTTTGACAGAAGGAATTTTGATGTTGTCTGAAATGACAGCCGAGAACAAAAAGAAATTTATCTATGTTTAAAGCTCAAGACTGTTTATTGAGACTGGCTCCGTATTGATCAGTTTTAGGGTTAGTTAAGGTATAAAGCTTTATTTAAACTAGATGACCATATTTTAAATCCTTTATCCCCTATTTTGACAATGTGAGCTGTGCTTTAGACACACAAAATGAATTAGGCTTTACACTTCATTACTGAACTGTCAGTTACTGATCTGGACTCACAGTCTGCAAAGCAGAAGAAACTCACAAACTATCACCATACAATTTAACTCTAGAAAGTCACATTGATTCTCATTTTTGTATACTTTAATGACTAAAAATTAAAGGAAATCGATTGGAAAGTTTACGCATATGGAACAAATAAGGGTTTTTTTAATTTTCTTTCTGTAATAGCGGCGTCAGTGAGTAAAAAACAAAAATCATATTAAAACCTAGTAACAAACGTAGGATATAAGAACAATGCATTTCAGAAGATCATTGAAACTTTCATTTATCCGTTGATAAACTTAAACTTAAAACAGATTTTGCACCAAATGCAATCAAATGTGTCGTGAAAATAAGCAAATAGTGCGAATTCCGTCAAATCCTATAATTCTGTTTTATTGATAATTTAAAGTGTTGATAGCCCAGAGGTCATCTTTGCGGCACTCGTGCCATCGCTTTGAGAACAAATAGTTTTCGCCCACCTGGGATAAGACACTTAGCCGTAGGACACGCCTAGAAATGTGATTTCAGGACGAAAATAAATCGACCCAACAGGAGAGCTATTATCTTTTGTAAAAACCCTCTGATAAGATTTTTCCTTTTTGGAACAGAATCTGCAATCTTCCATTCATTGCCATGGAGAAACTGTCCAAAGGGCAAAAATTAGAGCATTCCATGTAGTGATCTGCGTTTTTTTCTTTCGGTGATGCCTAAGATAGAGGGTAGATGAGTGCAGAGGTTGCCTTCCTCAGACAATAAGATTGTTCCTAGTTTGTCATCAGTTCATTTCACTTATTGTTTTCATGACAATTTTAATCATCACAAATTGCATCTGATTTGGCCTGTACGTGCTAAATATAAGACCAACGTAGGCATTTGGTTCGTTTTGTGGAGCAACTCAGCACCCGAGAGTAATCAGTCGAAATTGTACTGAACAATTTAGGCAGACGGCGTTAAAATGAAGCTGTTGGTGATCTGTTTGCTTCTTATTTTCCATTCTTTTCACTACGAAGCGCTATCGGGTCAATCTCACAAACAATATCTCTCTGATCTGGAACAGTTTCATGTGCAAATGTTCAAGGAAAAACTGCTGAAAGAGCTTGGATTGTCTTCAGTCCCAGATATCTCCAAAGAACAAATACCCAAGTTTCCGAAGTTTTTCAAACATTACCTCGAATCGGAACTGAAGGACTTTGCTGCAAAACATACTGATTCGAACGACCTGAAGACTGGGAACGAAGAGCTGTTTTTATTTGCTAAGCGAGGTACGTTTTGTTGTAGTACGTCAGTGATAAAAAGTGTACATAATGTACAATTTTGAAACTTTTTCAGGATTAAAGAAAAGTCAGAAACGGTCAAAGTAAGACAATTATTGTTCATCTGATGCGGCCTATGGGAATTATGCCAGTCTAAAATGATTACGTACATCTGAGGCGATAGAATAAATTTCAGTTGACACCATTGTCACGACTCAAGTTAAGATTTCTGTTTATATTTGTTGGTCAATAGCTATGATTATCGAAGCTTAGAACAGGAGTGGACGCAAGGAAATATGAAATAAATAAATAAATTAATTAACAACGAAAACTGTTCTTAATTAGTAGAAACATTTCTTGTGCATGTGTTCCAAGTTTTGTTACAAATGGGCTTATATTTACACAAGGGACTGGTATGTTACGAAACATGTAGATACCTTAGATTTTTCCAATAACCTTTGGTTAAATTTAAATTTCAGTTGCTTCACTACCAAATGGAGGTGGAATGAATTACCTCTTCCATTCGAGATCCAGAAATTCCAATCTGAAGATCAGATCTGCAACTCTATGGATTCGCCTCAAAGAATCACTCCCTACATCGGTTGAAAAAAAACCGAACGACAGCAACGGTGATTTGCAACTTTACAAGAAATACATATCAGCAGCAAAAAGTGGTCAGTCTAACATGACGAGAGAGCTTTTCCACTCCGAAGGTTTGAAGGCGGCTGCTGGCTGGCATAAAGTAACAGTTACCAGTACGGTGCAAGAATGGTTCTCTCTTCATTTAGACGATGATCTCGAATTGGATGTTGAAATGAAAGGATTACCATCTCTGATAATAGGGGATGTTAGCGACCAGGCTACCGGGCAAACACTTCAGCCATTTCTTGCAGTTGAAGCTGTAGAGAAGCAGCCCTTAGACCGAAAGAGAAGAAATATAGTGTTAAGAAACTGCTCCACTACCCCCCCGTTAACATGCTGCTTACATGAGTGGAGAGTTAATTTCTCCGCAATCGGCTTGGATTTCGTGCTCTTTCCCAAATCTACAACTGTTAATTTCTGCGCTGGTAGCTGTGAGTCTTCCGGTTTGTACCGGCCATCAGCTGCCGCTCGACTGAATATGATAAGACAAAGCCCCCATGGCCGTAGGGCGAGTGATCTGCGGCGTCTACAATGCTGCAAGCCACTTGTCACGGAAAGCGAGGCATTAATGATTGTACTGGAAAACGGAACACTTTCTCGTCATTTGGTCCACAAAATGAGAGCGAAATCTTGCCAGTGTGCTGTTTAGTAACTGGTTACGACAAATCTAGGAACACACTCGATACTTGTGGTGACATAAGAAAAATCATGGCTGCAGCTTCTGTAAAGTGGAAAGTAAAATGTTTCGAATAACCTTGTATTCCTAGAGTTAGTGTCCTTTCGCGTGAAATTAGCGAAATGTTTTTTCTTCTAACAAGTTTTTGTTTGAACAAAGCCAATCAGGGCGGCTGTAGTGGTGGCTAGTTGTACGATAAATTACTGACGGGTTTGCAATTTGATACTTTTTCTCAGAGTTTTAATGTAAGAAGAGGTTTTGGGTGTTGTTCTTTTACTTTTTGTCATACTGATTCTCGTCTATTGCACATGACCTGTCAAGTCCTCTTGAATCAAACCACCGAGTACATTCCGTTGAGAATTTTAAGCAGATCGTTTGTAGTTTGGAATACATTTCGATAATGTTACTATTCCATGATGTTTTCCTTTTTTGTTTTGTTTTGTTTTTGTTTTTGTTTTTTGTTTTTATATCAGAGGTCCAATGTCCTTTTCTGGTATTTGTTGCTTATGTCTTGAAAATTAAAACTTCTGATAGGTATCACGGACGGTTACGGCAACAGGAACGTGGCAAAACATAAAGTTTAAATAACAGAACAATAACTCTGCACGTCCACTTTAAACATTAGTCGTTTCCAGACTTCCTCTGTTGAAGAGCCACATAGGAATCTTGGGTAGGCTAAAAACAGGACCCAGATTATAAAAAAAATGACTCATGTTTTTTGTTAGAACTTAGCCCTGTCTGCATATATCAGGCCGAAGGGGAACTCTAGGATGAACCCTTGCGCCTTTAGAGACAGTAGGACGCTTCGAGCTTTTCGCGAAAATCTCCAGAGGCATTGAACTTTGTTTTTTTAATTGACGTTATCCTAGGAGTCGCTGTCGTTAAATTCTTAAAAGGATCTGAATGGGGTTAACTGACTAACAACGTAGGGCATAAAGTAAAACTGAGTAACGGCAAAACGCAAAAGAATTATCGATTGCTGACGAGTAAATACTAACCGACAACCGACATGGTCCGACACTATCGATATTTGTATTAAGAAAGAGGAGCATTCTAACTTAGAGGGTACCTACTTTGAATTTAAGATTCAGTTAATTATAGAATTTCTAGGCATCAAACTTATTTTATGGCCGGGTAGGAGCGCGGGCTCATTAAAGAGATTTAGGAGCGCGTTTACTGATGTGAAACGTGAACGGCAGGAGTGACCACGTGACCTTGTTTTTCCCGCCATTTTTTGACGTTTGCCGGTTACGCTTTGCCGTTTTTGCGGGAAAGTATAGCTTTTGCCGTGTACGTAAGATTTTCTCACTTTTTTTCTCTTACAGAGAAGAAGTTAATTGCCGGAAAAAGTGCACCAAAACTATTCCTTAACAACAACATGTATATCAACCTGTAATTCAGTATTCTCTGCAAAAGATTTGAATAAACATTATTATTATTATTGTTATTATTATTATTATTATTATTATTATTATTATTATTCCTTGTAATGCACACAAGGGTACGTTCCAATCCACCATGACGTGAGCTCAAGCGAAGCTAAAGCGGCAAGGTTCACGTTATTGTTATTATTATTATTATTATTATTATTATTATTATTATTATTATTATTATTCCTTGTAATTCACATAAGGGTACGTTCCAATCCGCCATGACGTGAGCTCAAGCGAAGCTAAAGCGGCAAGGTTCACGATATTTTAAGTGAAACGTGAAAGGCTAACCTGACTTTTGTCGTTTCACGGCGGCGGTGCTAAATCTCTCTGTCTCCAGAACAGAGTCCGGTACTAGAAGCCACGACTTTCCTGACGAATGTGAATAATTAACTTTCATTTTAATCATTGACTAAGATTTATCGACAACCGACACAGATGGAATCAACTACCGACAAAGTGATGGAATTCTAACCGACAACCTCCTTGAGGATTGAGGACCTACCCGTACCCGTCCAGACCTTCTCCCAAGTCCCAACTGTCATCAAGCAACTCACGTAGTAAATAAATCCTTTGATTTCACTTCCGCTCAGTAAGTTCAAAAATGGAAAGAAAAGATAGAGAGTAAAATAAGAACACCTAACTTAGCATCGAATGAATTGCGAGACAAATTTCATACTCTACGCGCACTTGAGCCTGCTATCCAACGGCTTACTTCATACAGTCTGTGTTGAGTCAGGCGGTGTGCGCACTCCGATTGCATTGCATTGTGGTAGTGTTATTTCAATATGGCGGCAAAAGCGGTAGAAATGGGTAGAGTTTGACTGAATATTCCATAAAAGTTAGGCCATTTCTTTTTCCTTTCACTATGGTAAATATAATTTGATGTATTCTGAACGTGTTGAAGTATTTTTCGTGCGTATTTGTCACGTATTATATCGTTCTCTAGGACAAACGCAAGCACTGTATTTTAGCATGTAATTTGAGACCGGTTTTCAAGTAGATCAAATTCGTTGTACGTCGCAGTTTGAAGCCTTTCAAAGATTTGTATGGCCACTTTGATCCTTGTTCAACAGCTCTGATCAAACGCGCTCAAATGTGCTCCCACGGTACAAATGTTGTATGCATTTTAAGTGATAGTGTTTGAGACCCTTTTGTGGACCGCAATTAAAAGGTGTTGATGGGCCTGTGCGTCTCCTACCACTCGCTAGCGCTTTTAAATCTTCTACTCTCAAAGCTTAGCTCTTATTACGATATCTTTTGACGACTTTCCTTTGCGATGTGATAATAAGGGTCAGTTTTGAGGTGTCATAATTCTCCATCTGTATGTTCTTGAGGTTTGGCAAAGCTGGATGAGATTGTGTAACAAAAGGCAATAATTTCTTCTGTGCGCGCGTTGCTTTCTTTGTTTCAAATTATACCTTCTCTCCTGAAGTAACAACTCCAGAAATACGTTTCTCAAAACCCTCATATAGGTTTCCTCTATTCTCGAAGGGTATTTTAAAACTCTGTACGTTTTTACTAAACGTGGTGCGCGACAAATTCGTTCATTCTTAGGAGGCGTGGGGTTTCTCCTTTTACAAATCCCGTATCTCCGCTCGGTGGAAAAAGTTCGTCTATTGCAAGGTCTCTGTCTCTCTAATATTCGTTTGCATGTCAAGGGTCAATTCACAGTTGAATAACTCGCGTCTAGGAATATAATTACTGACTGAAATTATTCATCCCGCCATCGGTTGTGAGTGTAACTATTGCCATTTGTGTCGAGATTCTCAGGCAGATTGCAGTTTCGAATCTCTCTAAATAACGTCAGTTGCCTCGTAAGAACCGCCTCCCGGTTAGCTCAATGGATAGAGCGCTGGACTGTTGTGTGGGACGTTGAAGGTTCAAGCCCCGGCCGGACCAACACTCAAGGTCTTAAAATAATCGAGAAGAATATGCTCCCTTTCTATAACATCAAGAAATGGTTAGATATTCTAGTCTTCTCGGATAGGGCAGGGGTTTCATTAAAATTTGGAGCAGAAGGGCATCTGGATTTTACAGGCGGGCATCTGTCTGCAAGGCCCAAAGGGCCTTGCCTTCTTGGGGGTCGGGGGGCATGCACCCCCAGAAATTTTTGAAATTCTACAGTTGCAGAGATGCATTTTCCACCATTTTGAAGCACAAACTAACATCCCAAAGTTACCAGCTCTTTTTAAATTATGATTTGATGCATCAGTCAACAGACAAATTAGATTTGCTTTTGCAACATTTGGTTGCATGGTAAGGTCACTAGAAGCTGTTTTAGTAACATCATGTATTTCATTATTTGCCAAGTTCTCGGAAGGCTTTGTTTCTGTGCAGCTATCATTTGCTGGGATCTCAGATGACACGGTTTCTGTGCAAATATAGAGTGGAATGTAAGTGTAAACGATTGTTAAGTTGTTCGTTTCAGAGGGTATGTGATTTCAACAAAAGTATAAAAAACGAAAAGGTGTTGGCGTTAGATTTCTTCTATTTTCTAATCTTACTAAGATGGATCTGCTAACAAACACACGGGGTTAAAAAGTTTTTTTCTTTACAGTTGCCGTGAACAAAAGATTTCTGTTACCACACGAGTAGAGTTTTTGCATTCCACCACAGACACAGACGAAGGAAAGTTGGCAGCTTCTACAACAGTTCCCGTCGCTCGCAGAAGATTCAAATTTCAAAAGTAAATCAGAGAAGAATGGAGCTTTCGGACAATTTTCAGTCACTATAGGAGCAGCATGTCTTTCAGAATATAACTCATACTTTAATTTGGTGCGAATCGTTTGTACCATTTGCGTAATGAAACGTCTTGAAACTCGAGCCGGCGGGGAAGAAATTGGTCACGTGCTAGGCAACCAGTTGAAAGAGCTAGCCGACTAAGATAACAATCTTAGAGAAAATAAACTTCGTGTATTTGATAAAACATGGAAGAACTAATTTATTCCAAGTACTGCTATTTTTTTATGTTTAGGCTTTACTGAAGACATTTACCGCGACAAACCGTGAACCGGAGATTTCTGAATCCAGTGTGCTAATTTATTTTAACTTACAGCATTGGTGTGAAGTGCAAAGATATGCCTAGTCTCCCTCGCAGCCGTTTTTAGTCTCGTCACGCAACGCTCCTCCCCACTCATCAGGCAGATTTAAATCTGCCTGATGAGTGCTTAAGGCACGAAACTCAGAGTTGCAGCGAACCATGTGTGTTTCTTTCTAGTCACGTAATGTTATATAAGTTTAGATATATTTTTTTTAGAAGACACATTTGGAAAACATAGGAAAGTAACTTATATATTTTTCTTATGGTTGAGATGTTTAAGCAGCAGGCAATGTCGTCTTCACAGCCGGTCAATTTGCCCGGTGCCCGGCCCTTAATGAAACCCCTGATAGGGACGAATAAATGGAGGTTCCGTCTCCTGCAGGGTTAGGGGTAGGAGACGTTAGTTTCCCACGCACGAGATTACTGTGTGATGGATGTCCTCCCCTGGGGTGGGATGGGGTGGGTTTGTTGGAGCTTAAACCTCATGGGGGACCTATGTCCTATTGTTTCTGCTCCAGTACTTTGTACAGATCCTTAAATAATCAAATACTCATATAAGAACGAATTCGTCACGGAGGAATGACAGGAGCCGGGCAGGCCCGTCAAACGTTTCAACTTTCGAAGAAATAGCAGCAGACAGTGAATCCCCGTTGCAATCCACGTATAATCACGCCGCATCTCGCTGCCACCAAAGATGTTCACTCTAACGCGTCAAGATGCAAATGACACAATTTTTGTTTTGCGACCATGATGCAACGCAATCAGAGTGCGCACACCGCCTGGAGTTGAGTAGTTACCAAATTCGCTTCCGACAGTCATTTGTTAAAAGTAGATCATGTTGCAAGTTAAATTTTAGCAAAATCTAAGTCAGGAGTGTGGTGGTAAGTCGATGATATTCATCAATGTAATCACTGACATGACTATTTTTCGTCACTTGTT